AAAAATACAACAGAAAAACGAAACAGATTTTTATTCTTCCTCTAACATAAATACAACATATGAATAAAATAAAATAAAATAGAATCATATCTCACTGTTAGAAAATATTTTTTATCGACTCATTCTATTCTCCATTAAATTGCATTGCATATTGTCGATTAAAACCATTCTCTTCTGATGTAACACCAGTAAATGGTGATGCCATTGATGTTGGATTATTTGTTCCTGCTAATTGTTTTTGATTTGTCATAAATTGTGAACCAGCAAATATTAATAAACCAACATAGAGAAATGCTGCAATCCAACAGTTATGTGCACGTTGATTATATGCATCGGAAAGATTGTCTTTAAAGACTTGTTCATTTGTTACATTATGTTCAAATTCAAAATCATCTAATAATGGTGCAGCTTCCATATAGAAAAATGCACCCATTAACAGAAATTGAATAATACCCCATACTGATATAACTGAACAGCATACAGATAATTTTGGACCAAGAATAGGCCACCCAACCATAATGATTTAAATCTAAAGAAAATTAAATCTGAAAAAACAAAGAAAAAAAAATTTTTTTTAATTTTTATTATTCATTCGATAGTTGAGATTCGAAAGAAATCATCTGGCATACAAAACCCACAGGTGACTGTTCAACCGAGATAATACAAGGAAAAACGAAAAAGAATTATGGACGGATTAGAAAAAAGAAAAAAAGCAATATTCATAGGATAATTAACATTGAATAGCATGCAAACGTTGTTTAGCTGGTTCAAAATCAGATTTTATTTTTAATGTTGATTGATACCATTGTTCAGCATAATCTAAATGACCTTTTCTTGCCATTGCATTCCCTAATGTAAAATGTGTAAGAAGAAGATCATTGGAATCAATTGATAAAGATTCATATAGTAAATAAATAGCTTCATTTGTATATAATTGACTATTATAAAGTATCAATGCCATTGAAAGATATGTTAAGTCTTGAACATTAGATGGTGATAATAAATGAGAATGAAAAAGACAATTTAATGCTTGAGATGCATTACCCATAAGACGCCAATAGAGTGAAAGTGTATGAAAAAAAAGCCATGAACTATTGTATACAGGTGAATCAAAACCAGTAGCCAAAAAAGATCCAATTAATGTTTTCTCATCACCTAATATTAGAAGAAATAAAATAAATAAGATCAAAACTAATTCTAATTTACCTCCTTTATTCATTATTGTTGGATTTTTTTCAAAAATTAAATTTAATAAAATTGGTTTTAATATTGTTTCAGCTCTATATAAAGTTAAATTTTCATTTGCTTTCTTTATAATATAATCTATTAATTGCATATTTTTTGTTATATTTATTTGTTCAATAATTGGATATGAACAAATTGGTTCATTAAATTCTAAATTCTCTTTTTTTAATTGTTTAAAAAATGTATTATTTAAATAAATATTTTTTGTTTGCGGTGATATCCATGTCGATAAATAAGGTGTATATATTATCGATGATATATTTTTACAATCATCTTTATCTATATCAATTGAATTCTTTAATAAATATTTTTCTTGAATTTCTTTTGATAAAATATAATCATCAGAAAAATATTTTTCATAAATATTCTTATTATTTAATCGAGTTTGATTAATTACTTGTTGTTCATAATCCATAATCTCAATAAGTTCTTTTAAATGTTCATAGATTGTTGATGGATCACGCCACCATGTCATATTATGTTTAGGATTTAATTCATTAATATCAAGTATAGTTATATCTCGACATTTTGAAGATTTTCTACCAGTACCATAGATAATACATTTTAATTTACTGTCTTTTAAAAACATATTTTCATAATCATTTGTAAATATAAATGAATATTGAAATAATTTTTTATTAGTATCATAATTAATAATTATATGTCCAATATCATAACCTTGTTTTGTAATAGCAAAACCTTGTGAACATTCATTATTGATATGATTATTTGAACATAAACCATATAAATGATATGCACGTCGAGCATCAGTGAATAGGTCTTCATGTTTCATAGATGATATTGAAGATGAACGATTAAGCCAACGATCCATCGATGAACGATTATCAATATTTGATTGTTGACCTGAGATTCAATATGAGAAATTATATAATTTTATAGTTAGAAAGCAAAACATATAAATAGACAAAACAAAAGAAACAAGACAACATACATTGAGCATTTCGATCATGATACGAAGTTAAATATGTACTACTATGAGCTAATGCCATAGTAGTATCAGATAATTTATAATTCTGATCAGACAACATCAAGGTATATTTCATACTTTCTGCCCGAACTGTTTTTTCATCACAGTGATTTTTATTATCCAAACAACCCATCATTTCCCATGTTGTATGCATTGTATAACAATAACTAAGACGCAGTTGACGACGAGCATATATATGTGTTGGATCAATTGTTAATGTACGTCGATAATATTCTTGTGCTGCTGTATGATTATTTTTTGTTAATGCTAACAGATTTCCAAGAAAATAATTTGTTATTGGTTCATGAGAATTTATTGAATAAGCTTGTTGAGTTAAATCCAGAGCATCTTCATATTTACCCCTAAAAATAAATTATTTCTTATTACGTCTATTCGCCTTTCCTACATTTACGCTTCAGTTATATTTAAATTAGTGAAAGTGCACTATACTTTCAGTAATTGGTAACTTCATATTTGACAATTTTAGAGATTATTTGGTTATTAAAAAATATTTTTATTGTACACTAAGAAAATCATATTCTATTTATTTTAAAGGCATTCTCTTACGCCTGTTAAAAGTGCAAACTCGGTTTCCAGCTGATAAAATTTCATGATATTCTCAAGAACTTTATGTTAATAAACATATCATAAAATCCTGACATTCTTTTTTTCATTACAAATAATGAATATACTTACCAAAGATACAAAATATTGGCAAGATTAATAAGTGTTACATCACTCCATTGTTTATATGTATTATTTTTAATAATAGTTTCATGTGCTTTTAATCCACAATCGATCGCATGGGGTAAATGTCCATTAACACGCCAATAAAGTGATGATAATAAATGAACAATCCATTCTGGAATTAAATGTTCATGTTTTTCTCCAACTGCTCTTAAACGTTGACCAAATTCTTCAATTGGTAATTGTTCATCAATAATTGAATCGATATATAAATATAAATTTAATAACATATTTGTATCATAACGATTTGTTGGTGCTTTTGAACGTGACATACGTTTTAATACTGGATGATTTTCAATAATTGATAAACGATCATTAATTGGTTTATGTAAAGTACATAATGGTGGAGACCACGGAAGTGGATAATGTTTATTTGGATAATTAAGACCTTGATAAAATGCTTGTTTAATATTTGATAAACCTTTATTTTCTAATGGTAACCATACTGTTGGATAATCACCAATAGTAGGTAAACCATAATAATGTATTTGACATTCACTATAAATTGGTAATTGTGGTTCATTTACTTTAATTATTGAATTTTGTTTAAGTGGTGGATAAAGTTCATTTGATTGTTTTAAAAGAAATTCTTTTATCGATGATGATGATGATACTTGATCAATAACATCAGTTGGTAAACGTGATGTTAATGTTTGCCATGTTGCTGTTGATGTTAATGTTATTTGTCTACTTTTTTCAATAGGATTTATTTCATCACTTTCATCATTTAATGCATATGAAGATTGTGTTCGTTTACTAGCCGCAAGACGTACTAGAAAAACAGAAAGAGAAGTTTTATGTTGAAATATTTCTATTACTTACATGACATAAGATGTTGTTTTATATTTAATAATTCTTCTTCATCATCAGAAATAATATCCTCTTCAATAGTAACTATATTATCACGTGGTCGACAATCATAATGATTAATAATACTATCATTTAATCTTTGCATTAGAAGAAAATTATTATCATCTATAGAACAGAATTGTCTTTGTTTCATAATTGTTGAATATTTTTTTTTATTTGAATATAAAATATTCGAAAAATGATCATTATGAAATTTTTCTTTATCCAATTTTTTCCAATCACAAATAATTTGTTTTTCTTCTTCTTTCAGTGTACGTAAATAATCAAGAAATGATTGACCATTGGACATATCACGTTTAATAAGTCCATTTAAATGTATTAATTCATCAGTTATTGATCGTAGTTGATTTAATTGCGCTAGTTTTGTTTGTAATATATGATGTTTACGTTGTAATGAAAGTTCTAAAGTTAAATGACAATGAAGTGCATCGATTTTTTGTTGAGATATTGTTAATAAAGACGAGATTGATAATGGACCAAGAGAAGAAGATGAAAGACTAAAAATGTGAAAAGAAGAAAAACAACTATTTGAATTATGTAATTTTTGTTTACTTACAATTCTAACTGTTGATCATCACTGATTTTTCGAATTCTTTCTAATAGAATTTTTGTTCTATTATAAAATTGTATGGCTAATAGAAATCGATTATCAATCGTACATAAATTTCCTAAATAATAATGTAAGATTGAACGAATAAATAATGATTTAACATTTGTTGTTTTCATTCTTAAATGATAATCTAATGCTCTTTCAATAAATACAATTGCATCACGTATATAACCATAACGAAAGACAATATTAGCTAATTCAATTAAAATAATATCACTATTATTATTATTTGATTCATAAAAAAGTGCACAACGTAAGCAATCAATTGCATTATCATATGATGAATTGGAATAAAAATATCGACTTAAATAAACATAAGCTAACCAAGATGTTCGATTATGATATAATTCATTAATTGACCAAAAAGCTTGTTTATCATAATTTATTGTAGTTGTTATATTATTTAATTCATCATCATCAATATGTATAGTTTGTTGTTGATCATAACGAGTAGATATACTTATTAAATGATCAAATGTAAGTAAACCTTTGTAAATAAACAAATTTAATAAGAAAAAAAAAATAAGGAAATTTTTTCTTTACTTGTATTTAGTTGACAAAAATGATTACAAGTTAAAATTTTTGTTTTAGGTTTATCATTATTTGAATAATTAATTGATAGATTTTTTAATTCAAATGGTATATGAAATGTATCATAAAGATTTATTTTAAGAGTTTTAAATATTAAAGATTCTTCATCACGCATAAAATCATTACATTTATCAATATTTTCATCATTATCTTGTTTATCATTATTTACTGGATTTAACAAAGAAGATTCTTCAACATCATCAACAGCGTCAATATATGTTTGTAAATGATCAACACGCGTTAAACGTTCGGATTGACGAATAAATGCAACAAGATCATATGGACGTGCTAATGTTGAAATAGTTTTTAATGTATTATCAATGAGTATATTATCTTGATTAACATAAAAGTGAGTACCCAAAAAATATTGTTCCGATAAACATTGAACAATAAATAATAGAAGAATATTTATGAAATGATAAAACATTTTTCTTATCATAATATTTATATGAATACATTAGAATATTTCACTAAATACATTTATTGTATTCATATAGTTGAGCAAAATGTAAAATAAATTAGAAAAGTTTTTTTTTTTCCTTTCTTATATATTTTGTTATTGTTATTTTTTTTGACACGTAAGTGATTCATGAGAAATAGTAGGATTTACCAATCAGAAGTAATGGGAATTAGGAAAAGCGCCATCTAAAGTTTTCTAGATGGAACTGAATTTTAAGATTGTAAAGAATAATAAATAAATAAGAAATACGATTGTGAATTGAATTATTATGTTAACGAGAAAAAGTATTGATATATAATTTATTCTTTTTTTTTTAAATAAAGAATTTGAGTAAAACAAATGAAGTTACTATATTGTAATTTTTAAAGAAAAAAAATTAAACAATATCAGCTAATCATCCCTGTAAATATTACGTATGTTCGAGATTAAAATTATCGATAACTATGATTTCACTTATATAATCAAACTTTGTTAAAGATATTTTCATAGATTTCACTTTTGTTAATATATAGAAATTTGTATGACAAATCATATTATAATGATATAAGTATACTAGATATTACGAAACGAGTATGATACAACGTTTGCTTAAGAATCCTATTTGTTTCACCGCCCTCATGATGTTAAATATAGATATAATGACAATCTATATTTTATCGACATATGTTATAATAATATTAGTTATTTCTATTAGAATTCAATGAACATAAATTACTATGAATGCATTACAAGCTGTCGCATTAGATTTCGATCTCAATGTATATTACTAAATATGTGTAATACCGTATTTAAATCTTTATCTTATCTTAAAACTAATGATTAATATCAGAATTTATTATTTAGAATTAGTTAAATATAATAAGACATGCTTGAAATTTTGCATACAAATTATGATGTGCTGATAATATAAAATTTATATTTTGGTAATATCGATTTTTGTCCTTCTCATATTTTTTAGTAATTATCATTTTTACAGACTGTTACTTTTGTATACACTTAGATAAATAATGCATACTAATAATTTGTTTTTTTGTGATTTTTGTATGATTTCAGTATACAAATGTCCTTGTCTTATTAACAATTGAAAGAAAGAAATAGTACAGAGAACTTCTTCTACGAATATATTATCATTTTCTATTTAATAATAACAAATATTTGAAATACAACTTGTATTCTTTTTCTTGGCTTCTATCAATGTCGTTTCAAAGAAAAAGATACTTCAGTCGTATGACCACAATAAAAATTCATATCTTCCGTAGTTTAGAACTTAATTGTACATGAAACTTGTATGCAACTAATTTGAGGGGAAAAAAAGATAAAATATCGAATAATTTCTTATTATATATTTCTATCTATGCTATTAATTTTTGTTAGCAGTATAAAAGTATAAAAGTCCTACGGAGAATACAATAATTATGATATAAAAAAATGATTAAAAATCATGAAAGTAATTAGTTTATTTTAATTCATCGCTGAATGTTAAATATTTTAACCAACGTTTTGTTGACGTTTATTAGGTGATACTATATGTGGAATAGCAAGAAGTCGATTTTGGCTTGTGGATTTTTTTCTCTGTCGTTGTTGTTCTTGTTGAACAACAACGTCACCATTTGCTTTCTGAACGAATGTTCGATGAATAACTTGTCGTTCTGGTGTCGGTAATCGATGGCGTACTTGTCGATAGATAGGGTCTGGTGTTGGTAATACAATTACTTGGCGATGAATTCGAGGTTCACGTCTAGGACGAATATGTTTTATATTATGCTCAACAAGCTCGGGTGCTCTGGTTGGCGTTGGTGTTCGAAATCGTTTTTGTTGTGGTTTTTGCTGTGGTTTGTGTTGCCTAAGCGATCTTGCTTTATGATATTTGTTAGGAATAAATTGAGCACCATAATATTGTGTTAATAATGGACTAAGATGTTGATTATACGCATTTGGTGTATAGGAATTGACGATTGCTGCCATCGATGATCACCTATATAAAGAAAAAATGATGCACGACTATTTGTGATGTGATACTTATTATATAGTTTGTTTTATCAGACGCAAGGTTAGAGAAAAAAATGAGGGATAGTGCGCCGCACAACAAAAACAGACTAAGGATAAAAATGGGGGACGAATGATCAATTGATCGATCAGTATTCGGCTGTTATAGAATGACAGCAGACGTTATACGTTCACAGGGAATGAAAAAAAGTGTAAAAAGAAGAAGAGACAAAAAAAAGAGAGAGAGAGGAGGCCGTTTTAGTATATGGTTGATGTTCTTCGCTCTGTCTCTCTCCCTATTTGTATTGTAAGTCATTTGATTATATGTGCAACAAATTATACATATATATATACATATGTATGATATGCTCTTGTATAGCGTCAAGGAGAAATGGGAGGACATTTATTTAAAATGGTATTATAAATACAAAACAAAATAAATATTAGTATATAATTGCGAGAAAGTATTTTAATAATATCTACTAAAAAGCACCGTATATAAAAAGAACAACGATAGTAAAAGCGAAAGCGACCCATATGATAATACCTATAATATTTGAAATAATCAGTATATTGCTAACACGATCAGACCACAATTTAGCACGAACTAATTCTTGATTTTCTTTCATTTTTCGTATACGACGAGTATGATAAAAAGCAATAACTGGTCCAATAAGAAAGAAACATGTAATTAATGAGCCAAGTGACCACCATCGATGTTCTTTTATATCACTAGCTCGTAGTGAATGTAAGGTTGTTGCTGGCACTGAGGCTTGTTTTTGATTATTTGATTGATTATTTTGTTTCAAATTTGATGGTTTGAAACGTTTAGCAAATTTATCTTTCTCATTTAACTCTATATGACCAACTACCTCCGGTTCAATGTCAATTGCACTAATTGTCGTTGCTGATGTCATCTTTCTTTTGCTGAATACGTTAGTAGACAAATTTATGTGACAGAAGACCTTCTATTACTATATATTGATACGCACGTGTATGTGTGTGATGTGGAGGAGAAAATAAACATACAACGATTCATTTTGTACACCTTTTTACATGGTCACATGCAAACATGTGCATGAGTATCAGTCAGTCACCGTTCGATGAGCATACACAAGAAAGAAACCTATCGTTTGCATACTTTAGGTCTAAGGTCATTGCATTAAGATGCATGACACAATAGATGTAATTATTTTGAAAAAACCTTTCTGTCCTCATTAGCTTTACAGGGTACACATTTTTATAATGAGTTTCTTACAATAATTGTATGAATAAAGTCAACGTCATAAAAAAATCAATTGATAATGACATATCTTTCATATTGCGAAATTAAATTCTAAATCGAAATATAAATTTTATTTATTATCTGATAAATATATATGAAGTTTTGTGAAGACTATAAAATTATAAAGTATAATAAGAATATTTCTAAATTCTATCATAAAAAATAAGATAATAAATAAAATAGAAGATAATAGAAATTATTAAAATGAATTTAACATGTCCAATACGAAGCGATATTTCACATCTGCTTTAACTATTCGATCAAAAGCTGTTTTGATTGTTTCTGGATTTGCGTTAATCTTTTCAATATCACATGTTATTCCATATTTACCACAAAAATCAAGCATTTCTTGAGTTTCTTTCATTCCACCAACGGCACCACCTGTAATCTTTACTTTTTTTGATATTAAAGACATAGGTTCAATTTCAAGAGGTTTTGTTGGTCCACCAACTCTATATATAAATTATGGGTATTCAAAGTGTACAACAAATAATAAATATAATACATACGAACAATAAACGCCTTCGAATACTAATAAATCAATCAAATCGCGAACATCATGATTTGCTGCTACAGTATCGATAATGAAATCTAATGAATCCTTAGCTCCTTTCATTTGTTCTTTATCTTTTGAGACAAGAAATTTTTTTGCACCAAGTTTCATTGCATCTTCGCGTTTCGATTCGGATGTTGAAATAACAGTAACATGAGCACCCATAGCTGCACCAAATTTAATTGCTATATGACCAAGTCCGCCAAGACCAACAATTCTAAAATATCATACAAGATATTGATATAGGTAAAGGCAATTGTAAATAAATACCCTATTCGTGAACCTTTTCCAACATTGAATCGTCGTAATGGTGAATAAACTGTGATACCAGCACAAAGTAATGGTGCTGCTGCATCTAATGGTAAATTTTTTGGAATTTTACAGACAAAATGTTCTCTCGTTATTATAAGATTTGAATAACCTATAATTAACAAAATAATAATGATAAATATGTTTATATGATGCTATTTACCTCCATATGTTGGGGTAACTTTATCAAGTTCAGTACTATTATAAGTTACACACATATCAGAACAATGTTGTTCAAAATCTTTTTTACCTAAATGACAGAGAGCATAAAATACAATTATTTGAAAAATTAAATATAACATACATAAGTCACACTTGAGACATGAATCACACATATATCCAACACCAACAGAATCACCAACACGAATATGTTTGACATCTGAACCAATTTGTTCAACAATACCAGTAATTTCATGACCTGGTATCATCGGATATGTTGATCGTTGCCAATCATTACGCGCATCATGAATATCTGTATGACAAATACCACAATAATGAATACGAATTACAACATCATCATTTCTAGGTACACGTCGCTCAAAATTTAATAATTTGAATGGAGACGAAGCACTATCAACAGCATAGCCTTTAGCAGCAGTTCTAAACGAAATTACATAAAACAATAAATAAAAGGAGGAGAAAAAAAAATTAATTGTCCTTGTTGAACTTTTCGGCATTTTATTTTTAGAAAGTAATATATTTATGTATACTTACTTTGTTAAAGTCATAATAGAATCAATTATAAATGAGAATTATTAACTCAAGAAATAGACGGATGAAATCGTTTGCACTTTAATATCGATAAGTGTTCTTCTTTTACTAATGTATACTGATTTATAGTAGTAGTTATGAAAATTATTTACATCGTCATGATGTCTAGGCGAATTTTCTGCATTGTCATATCATACTGTTAGTTTCCATTCAGCCGATAAGAAAATTTATCTTTTCTTTCATTCTGTCGATTTCTATAATGGTATTATTGTTTATATTTATCATATGATACGATTAGTTTTTCAAATTAATACCTTAAAGACTTATGATTTTAATTGAATTGCATTGAGTTTTACTTGATTGCATACATGTGTTACCTATCATTTACAAGAAGTTTCTCATATGTCGATATATATTTTAAGTATAATATTTATTTGTAATGAAAAAAAAATGTTCTATGGTCCCTATGTCGTTTATTTCCCCAAAAATTATAATACATAAAATTACATATATAAAGTAACATGCTCTTCGACACGTTTTTTATAGACAATATCCCATTGTTGTTCTTTAATACGATGACATAAAAATGAATAAAAAAAATTATGACAATAACCTTGATGGAATGGATTAAGATCTTCGTCTGGTAAACGATTTAAATATGTTATACGATGTCGAGATACACGTTCCCATGTTGTAGAATTAGTTAAAGCAAAAAATGAGTGAATACAGAATAATGCTGTTGTTGCGCACAAAGATACTACTAATACATGCATTGCAAATAAACGAAATTTATTTATATGTAACCATGATGACCAATCACTGAATGGTACAAACGATTGACTATATGAGAATAGAAATTAGAATAATAAATATGATCAATAAAATAGATTTACCTGCATATTACTATAGACCATATGATTAATATTTCTGTTGCAAGAAGAAAACACCAAAAATAACGATGATTACGTTCACCAATACATGTTTCTAAATATGGACACTAAGAAAAAAAACCAAATATTTCATATTTATTTGATAAAGGTTTAAAATATTATATAGAACGTACATGATGATCATATTTAAGTACACATCGATTGCAAAAGTCACAATGATGACTTCGAAGAGGTTGCTAAAGAAAGATTAAAGTAGAATATTTTTACTTTTATTTTAAAATAAATTTTCTACTTCAATATTGCACAGAAGACATTTGCGTAGATGAGTTTTACTCGTTGTTACCGCCTTTTGTTCATGACCATCGTCATCATCATCATCATCATCTTCATCGTCTGATAATGGTACCATACCTCCAGACCAATTAGGTACCTATGCGATTAAAATACAATAAATAAAATTAAATAATTAATTCTCCTAAATTATAATTTTATAATCATACTCGTTTATATGGTACGAAACCAGGATCGGTATAACATGTCATGAAATAGAAAAAAAGTGATAGATAAACAAAAAGGCCATAAGTAATACAATAAAGATAATTCGATGTGTCATATAAAGCTGTGCGAAGTTCTAAATAATAAATAAAATTACAAAATGAAATATTTCATAATGATATAGAAATATTTACGAGATGGCTGAAATACAAGTGATGCAACAACTCCAAAGACAAGCAAAAGGTGACATGTTCGAACAAGCACCTTTTTCCATTGTATAAATTCAAATATGCATGTCATTCAGAATGTATTTAAAAATAGAACATCTAGAATAATCAAAAACAAAAATCATAACTATGAATAAAACAAACAATTTGTTAAATCAAATTGAACTGTTTGAACACCAGCACCGACTATAACAATAGTAAATTCTCTTTTTTTATCACAAAAAATCATATCCATGGAAAGAATATCACGAATATCAACTAAATAATTTTTTGTTAACTCTAAAACTTGTTCATCATTTTTGATTGTCCATAATTTCAGTCTTTGATCAATACCAATTGATATAAAACTAGTTGAATTTAGAAAACGAATACCTTTCAAAAATAAAAATTCAATGATTAAATTATTTTAAAAATAATTTATTTTTATTTTATTACCTGTAGCTGGTGATTGATGAATACAATCTTTGGAATATTCTCGTTTCCAAATCCAATTTTTAATATCAAAACTAGAAACATGTACTGACCCATCATCACCTACACTTGCTAAACGAAGAAGATTATTTTGATTTATTTCGATGATATCAAAATCATTGATTCCTGATTGATGAACTTTAAACGTTGTTGAACGAATGGAAGAATCTAATGATGACATATCATATGCACATAATAGACCATCAGTAGATGAAACAAATGCAATAGAACTATTTGAATACACTTTAACACGTAATTGACAATATTCGGAATGTGAACATGTTTGAATTAAAGAAAAACGATTTGATACTGTTGTATAACGAAAGACACTTGAAAAGAAAAACAAATATATTTATTATTAACTAAATTAAAAATTTTTAATCTTTACCGTAATATAGCGTCTGATCCGGTGACAAATAATAAATAATTTCCATTTTCAGCGAGAGACATAGCTGCAACGCTAGTAAATCTAGAGGTAAGAAATTTAATAAGAAAAAAAAACATGATTTTTTTTGTTAATATTCTTACCTTACATCTAATCCATGATCTTCGTCGTGATTGTCTTTTTTCGTTTCATCGTTTATATTTCCACCTCCGCCATGACGTCGTCGTAATGGATGAAGCATAAAATAACCTGTTCGAATAACAATATTATTTTTCATTTGCCAAGCAAAAAGCTGTGCACGTGCACCACAGGAAAAAAATAAATTATCAATTACAATTATATCACAAACAGCTGATAAATGAGATTGTAATGTAGAAATATGTTCACATTTCGCATTGAATTTTTCTGTCTAGAATAAAAAATTTTAATTAATAAGAATAATGCTATATTCTTTATAAGCCTTTAATCTCACATAATTTTTAATGAAACTAAGAAAATATTAAGCTTTCGCTAAAGGATGGATCTGTATTCTTCCATTGTATTATCTAATGGAAGTATGTCATAGAGATTGAAAATAAAGAACAACAAATGTTTTTCAGTCAAATATAATCAGTGTGAATGCATGGCTGATTTAAGAAATATATAAGTCTATATGGAAATAGTAAAGCCTTTGAATGTTAAATAATGTCATTAAGAAATCTATTGGCGGAGACTAATATATCTTAATCTTACTTAAAAAAATAGAATTCAATTCATATTCTATACCTGAAATGTAAATAATTTAATTTGTGTATCTTCACTACCAGTAATCATATGAAAATGATTATTTGATTGAAATAATTTAACACAACGAATTTCGGTTCCATGTGTTGGTGGTATGATTGATAAACATGTTGATTCATTTAATATTCTCATTAGATTTTTTTCTGCTAAATATACTTGTTTATTTCGTATATAAACAAAATAAGCATTGGAATTTTTATCGAGAAGAAAATCATGATTACGATGACCACCACCACATTCGACTTGCATTAATCGTCGTTTTGTTTGATCATCTAATGTATAAAGACAAAAATTATTTGTCGTAAAACATGTTACTAGTGATGGATTATCTATAAGTCGATCAAGCCATGTTATATCGGATGTTATTGTACATGTTGATTGATGAATTAATTGTCGTTGGTCATTGTTTATAGAAAATATATTTATGTAACCATCACGACCACATGAACGAATAAGATTTGTATTTTTATCAATATCAAGTGATGATGTACCATTAATACCATGTAAACGTTCAACTTTTTGATAAATTAAATTATTATTTAAATCATATGAAAGAATATTTCCTTGTCGATCACCAACAAGTAATATATTGTATTGTTGAAGATATAAACATGTATTTGGCCAACGTTGTTCAAACTCAGGTAATACTTCTAAACGATGTTCTAATATTGCTGGTTGATTTGATATATTATAAACAAACTAAAATTTCGAAAAAATAATAAAGTTTCAATCAAAATGGGAAAAAAAACTGATTATGTTCTTATCCGAAAATTCTTTTTTAATCTCATGAAATTTTTGCTGGAATTATAATTTATATGTTGAGATAAAAATAGTATGGAAGTAAAAAGAGAGGAAATCACGTATTCTAAAGAGGTTGACGAGAGAAGAATGGTAACAAATTGTTAGTGTAACAGGAAAAGAGAATATAGAAAAAAAAACAAAGCAAAATTATAGAACAAAATGCAAACACGCACATGTTCTTATAAAAAGAGTAGAACTAGAAAAATATCTCATGAGAATCTTTTTTTAATCTAAAAGAAAGTTTTATATAACATTTTATTCTATTTACCATTATGCCATCTGGTATACAAACAAGTAATTTTGATGATGATGTATTATTTAACCATAGAATTTGTAGAATTTTATTATTTTTATTTGTTTCTATTTGAAATTGATTTTTTATTATCCCATTATGATCAAATATAAATACAAAACCATTTAATGATCCAACTGCTAATAAATATTCATTTTCATCATTAGACATACTCATTTTTGCATATCCATTTTTTAATGTATTTCTTCCATCATAAAATAATGTTATATCGTCTTTATCGATTTTTAATAATTGTCCACTATTCATATAAACAATCATAATTAAAGAATTAAAAAAAATAATATTTCGAGGAAAATCATTTTCTAAAGATTTATTTAATAAAATTGTTCGATGTGAATCAATAGGTACATCATCAAGATGATATCGACGTACACCACCATCACTCCAACCACTGATAATAATTAAAGATTTATCATCATTATCATCACCTCTTAATATATCCATACACCAAACACTTTTACATCGATGTACAGAAAAACTTCGTAATATTTCACCTGTTGATTTATGTGACCATAAACGTATAGAAGAATCTTCACCACATGTTAAAATATTTGTTGATGTTAAACTTGATTGCCATATACGAGCGTCATGAGCGAAAAATGAAGATAATAATTCAAGAGAATCCTGAAATTTATATAACTTTACTGTACGATCATCACCAACAGTACAAAGAAGATTGTTATAATAAGTTATTCCAAAGATAGCACCCTAAAATTATGAAATCTGATGTTTTTTTTTTGTGAAAGAAGTTTACATTTTTAGTTAAATTTACATTATGATCAGAAACATTTGTTTTTTCATGAAAATAATTATTTGAATCTTGTTCATAAAGAAATAATTCACCGAAAACTGTACCTGCAGCAAATATTACTGTTTCATTTGTATGATGAAAAAGACATGATGAATAAAGTGTTGTATAATTTAATGATTGAATCAATTCTAACGATTTATTATAACGGTATATTTGATTTAATGCTGTACCAAATAGAATTGTAGGTAACTAACATATAAAATAGATTAAATTCAAACAGAAGAATTTTAATGTTATGTTAATACTTGAGTTGAACGATCAAGATGAACTATGAGAGCACTTATAATCCAAGAAGGACATTGTGTTTGAGGTATTATTGTTTTCAATACGGATGGGCTAAGAAATACGATATAATATAGAATTAGATTTGAAATTTTCTATCTATTACTTTATTTAACTTACGATATTGAAGACCATTGAATAATAGAAAATGTTCGTTGACCAAAAACAACGATGATATAAGAAGAATCATTCGTTTCATTTATTATTTGACCTTTAATGAAAAAATAGTGTCAATACTGTTTTCGAATATATTTCATAAGATCTTACGAGCTTCAAAACCATGCACAACTGAATCTACTAAAATTTTCTCTTGTAATAATTGTTGATTTGTTGTTAAATCAAAAGCAAGAACATAAGGACCAGTACCTGATTAAATTAAAATTAATTTAAATAACAACAACAATTTTATTACCAGCTAAACATATTCGATGCTTAGGAAGAACTTTAATTGCTGTTACAGGTGCACTAAACATAATACGATAGATAATCTGAAATAAACTCTGATATATTTTCAAAAATCAACAAATTTTTTCAACAAAAAACAATATCTAAATATCTATCTCTAGCAAAATGCAAAATGATATACAACAAAAAAAAGAAAGAAGAAGAAATCTGTTAATTATTCAATAATTGTTGATTTATACCGGTTCGTTTTTTGAATGCTTTATTTGTCCATGTATACCCTTTAAAATCTGACCATGACCATGAAATTTGTAAAGTTCGTGTACGTTCTTCAATTAACATTGCAATATCAACAAGTACTCGAGAATCTAATACTAAACAAACAAAAAAATTTGTTTTTCTATTCGAAAATATTTCTTTTTACTAACCACTGTAAATAAGTTGTGACTTTTTCAATGGCCTCTTTCGCCAATCACTTGTTTGCAATGATTTGTCAAGTGGTTTACCAAAACATAAACGAACCAATTCACTTAAACCACGAGATTTTAAATTCGCTGAAACATTATGATATGGAAATACTTCAGGATAATGTTCACAAATCTATTTAAAAATAATCACATGCATATGAAAAGAAGAAAACTAAAACATACGTATTGTTGTACACGAAATAAATCAATAACAGCTGTTCCTTGCATAAGTGCATCACTCATTGAAGGATAATTTTCAATTAAAAATGATGTATCACCTGCATAATTATATGCTAAATAAATAATTTACAAAAATGTCTTATCGATATCAATTAACTAACTTAAAAGAATAAAATCATGTGAACAAAAAAGACGTTGAGCAAATTCAGCTAAAGTTTTCATATCAAATTGTAAACGAAGTGCAAGCATATCAAATATGCCATATAAAGATTGATCACGTGATAATATTGAACTTGCTAATTGAATAATTGATACTATTTGAGAATTAAGTGTTCGTTGTGTTGGATCCATAAATGTTTCACAATCAAAACCAACAAATGGTAAATGTGAACCCACATCACAACGAGCACACTTTAGGAAGAAAGAAAAAAAATGAATCAATTAGAAAAGAAAAAGATATACAAACTTCTAAACGATTTAAGAATGAATCAACATCAGAATCAACTTCAATATAAACAATATCGGATGCAAGAACAGTTGGTTTGTAAATATTATCTTCTGATTGTTTAGTTAACCATGTTGATGATTTAAGTGAATATGATTGAGATGTAATATCATCTTGAAGAATTTCTTGACGACGAAATTTGACTTGTACAGATAATTCAAAATCTTCAAGATTATAAAAACGAGCCCATTCAACAGCTGAATCAATATCAGTATAATCAACAAATAAATCAACTAATTTTACTTGTAAATCATGATTATCATGTATTAATTCCTCAAAAACAAAAATATTACTTTATCTTTATTTCTAACATAACCAAGTAAAGTCATATTTCTTTCAAAATCATAGAAAAAATAACTATTGAAATATTTGGATACGAACAAATCGTGTATCAGCTAATAATATTTTTTATATACATTATCTTTCGATGCATGCCGTAATTTAGTTTTTCCGAATGAATAAATAGATCATATGTTTAACGGAAACGACAACTAATTCTCTTTTCAATATCGAAAGAAGTCTACTTGTTACAGAGAAAATAATTAATTTTTTTCCTGCTGCAATTCATTTAACGTTTCAAACAATAGAAACAATTTTTATAAAAATAAATAAACTCTCTAGTTAACAATCTGAGTTTTCTACAATAATATTATTGTCTATATGAAAACTTACTGTAATCTGTTCTTTCCATGATTCATCATCACCATCATCATCACCGCCACCGCCACCATTTTTATTTTCTAAATATTTTCGTACAAAAAGTGTTTTGAGAAAACTTAGTTTTTCTTGTGCTGCTAAATTTGGAAATTCATGTAAACTAAAATCATATTGTTTAAGTAATTTTCTTGCAGCACGTTTTACACTACGAGTATCAATGAAATTTGTATTTGTATTAATTAAACATTGACTAAATAATTGACGAACAGTTGTTCTAAAATTAAGAAATCATACTTGTCGATATACATTTAATCTTTTAGTTATCAATAATGTGTAGAACCTTTATGAACTTCGTAACTAGGATAAGAGTTTAGGATTTTTAGATTATTCTGCTTTGAAAATAAAGTATTTCATAATTTATATTAGATCTATTTGATACTTATCTATGTAAGATGATATTATTAAGATATTAACTATGTTCATATTCTTACTCGTCTGTTGAAATAAGATCATCGATTGTTTTTAATAATTTTCGTTGAAGTATTTTATCGTCGCCAACAACAAATCTAATTGTTTCCCATTGTAATTTCAATATTAATGGTAGAACAATCTATTTATAGATTTAAATTTTCTTATATTTTTATCGATTTTAAAAGTAACAAGAAACAAACTTTTTCAAATTGTATTGCATCAATTTCTAGAAGTTTTAAAATCTTTGTCATTTGTGATATAAATATAATATCTTGATGTTGTTCTATTTGTTCATTGATAAAATCAATAACTAGTTGTCGATTATCTGTTGAACGTAAATCAAATATATCAACAATTGATTCCAATTGACTAAATATACATCGACGACAAATTTTTGATAAGATATTATATTTAATTGTATCATCTAAATGTGGATTTTGATCATAATTTTTTATCTGTTTAAATTGTTCAATCAATGGTATTATCAATCGATGTTTTTTATTATTTGTTGTACTTAAAGTATGATCCAAAAACATATAGAGTAATTTATAGGGTGTTGTAGATTGTTTAATGATATCATCGAACAATCCTTGCCATTTCTGGTGTTCACCTTGTGTATGAAATGTATATATACGTTCATAGATCTCTAAATAATCATTAAAACTATATCAGGAGATATGAATAGATCTTTTTATTTTCAAACAAAAACAAGTTGAACATACTTGTAAGGTGAATCTGATTCTAAATAAATAAAGAGTATCATATTAAGTAAGTAAAAGATTTGTCTTGAAGAGAGTCTTACGTATATTTGATGGCTTTTTCTGATACTCATGAAGTATAGTTTGTGATTTTTTAACATGTTCACTATTTTCTGTTGAAGTATCACTGTCGAATAATACATTCTCATCATTATCTGTATCGAAAAAGTCGTGATTCATTCTATCAAAAGAAGAATCTGAAATGAAAATCGATTATTACAATCATTTCTAAATACCACCAAAAGAAATAAATTTAGTAATGTGCTCTTCTGGTATTTAATGGATAATCGAGTATTAATAGAGTACGTCAGATGGCGCTTTCTGTTATAAATTTTCTTTCAAGACAAAACTCATACGATATAACAAGTAAGTTTAAATACTTATTGAATGATCTTATTCCCGTTGAAAGTAAACATAGAAATCTATCCTTATATATGAAGCCGGACGAGATGTATCGTACTTTAGATCGTAGACTTGTATTTTTGGTGTAATTTTTAAAAATGAGATTGAAGTTAGAAACATGATCGCTGCAAAGAAGATTATCACAATGTTTCGAAATACCTGTCTTCAATTCACCATAACATGCAGTAATCGTATGTTCTTTCTTCATATCCTATAGTTCAGATATATTCATCTACACAAGTAAACTCAAACTTTATGGTAAGCATGCTTCTTTACGATTTAGCTGTTATTTGATTCGTAAATTTCTCTTCTTGAATTTATTAATAAATTATTTATTCACATTGCAAAATAATTTTGAATGTCGGTCAAATCTTATATATACGCAATATGTCCTTTTAATTTTTTTTTGAATATTCTTTAGTTTCCTAAATATTTCTTAATAGTGCAAAATTGTTTTAAAAAAATTATAAAAGGATTATGTGCTAGATAAATTAATCGATGCATAAAATTATTTTAATGCGAATAATAGAAAAACATTACTATTTGTTTATTTATGATCTCATTCAAAAACAGAATTATCTTAAAAGGCACATTATTACAGTCAGTTAGGCAATCTTACTAATGATTCAATTAATAAACGCGATAAAAGCAAGTAAAATAGACGTCATTCTTTTATTATTGAATCTTATAGAAGGTACGAAGACTAGATATAAGTAACTAGAATACGTATTCTATATTCATATAAGTGTTAATTATTCAAAAAGGAATAATATTACGTACTGTACTGAATTTATTGAATTATGTCAACAAATAATACATATGCAGCAACATTATTAGCAGCTACCTCATATGTTACACTGAGCATTGATCTTATTACTCTCATTATTGGAATAGTTGGATGTATTTGCAACCTAATAACATTTACTGCTCCACAAATACGACGAAATGCTTGTATATTTTATTTATTATGTGCTACTGTATTTCAAATGGTATCAATTCTTTTCATTATTCCAAATCGTTTGGCTGCAAATAATTTTGGATCCAATTTCGATCCACATTCAATTATTTACTGTAAAATACATTATTATTTGGTCGTTACACTGCCTGAATCAGCGACATTTCATATATTATTATCCATTATGGATCGATGTTTAGCTACATCGACAAATGCTAGAATAAGAGCTTGGAGTGATCTTAAAATTGCACATAGAATATCCGCTGGTACTATCATTTTTATATTTATTACAAATATACAATTGATCATATTTTATACTATATATAATAATAATTGTCAAATTACTCCAGGTGGCTTCGAGCTTTACTTTGGAGCTAGCTTTTCATTCATTGTTGCTATTATTATTCCATATATTCTTATGTTCATTTTTTCTCTTATTACTTATTTTCAAATGAAAAAAACAAAACGACGAATAGTTCCAGCTCCAAACATACTAAATCAGAAACAGACAAATCGTTTCGAATCTCAGATTATTCGGGTAAATAAATTTGTAATATTTCTTTTCTATATCTCCAAATAGATTCTGTTCATTTCATAAATATTTATTCGAAATATTTAGATTATTGTATTACAAGTTGTTGTTAGTGCAACGCTTGAATCATTACGTCTTGGTTCATATGCGTACTCAATCTTTACTAGTGGCAATTTGACGAAGACACTAACTGCACGTGTTATTGAAAATTTTACAGTACAATTTGGTGTTTCAATTTATTTTCTTAGTTTGGGTATATCGTTTTATGTATCAACTTTAACAAGCAAATATTTTCGAGATATATTGAAAAAACGAATCATTGATTTATATAATCATTATTGTCGTCGACAAATATAATGGAAAAGTTTCCAAACTATTGATTGATTATTGAAATGCATTCATAGCATTATTTTTGAGTTTTTTGTTTAGGACTGACATTCATAGCTGTTCATTTTAGTTTTCGATTCTATATAATCATATATAAATAAAATAAACTCTTGTAACTCTATACACATAAATTTTGACTTAATAAAAGTACAAGTTTGGAACTTCCTTTTGAAATTAACATTTAACTACAGTGTTAAATATACAATAAAAATGAAGAAAGAATGTGAGTGTGGATGAAACAGCCATTTCTTTACATCCAAATTCACTCTTTACCTTGAACACATGTTATTGCAACCAACGAAAATGCTTCAACGCATATGAAAATATATTATGCCAGTAATTACTAGTATATAAACACTACGAACCTATGGAATTCAATTGAAGTGATACTTAAAACTCTACTTAAGATAAAGAACAACAAATACATATTAACAACTTAGATTCTTTGATACGTATTACTGTTTAGTCATAGTGAAGACGCTGAAAGAACAAGAGTTCTATAGTATTGACGATGTAAAACGACATCGTTGATAACAATTATCAAATATGACACACATTTTTTTCGTATCATTTAGAACTCGTGTCTCCCCACATTATTAATACTAAGTACACGAAATAATCTCCAAATGCAGCCAAAGTTCTCTAGAATGTTCATACTATATCGTACACCAGTCCAGCGTATACAAGAGAACGAAACTATGATGTGAAATCTCAGACAATGATGCAATTACTGTGCAAGAACTCTTACACTATACAGCTTCTTACCAGGGATCGTCATGGGATGGGACGACTTTTTTTTGACATATCCCATGGGATGGGATGGGATGAGGTCTCGTTCCCACGGGATGGGATGGGATGAGTCTTACCTCCCATGGGATATATGATTTCTTTTTTTTAAGAAAAATATTATTCTGAATAGAGGTCGCATTTGACAAGCAGTAAACATAAGTAATATATTTGTCGCTTTTCTGTATTGATTAATAATTTTTACTCTAAACATTATCAAACAGATAAATAAAGGAATGATAAAATTAGAAATCAGTAAAGGAAATCTAAATATTATTAGACCAATAGTATAAAATATTTCATTATTTTTCGTTATAATATTTACTCAATATTATTTGTCGTTGATTTAATTTATATTTTTGTACTTATGTATATGATGACTCATATATTTTTGCTGATAATCGGAGCTTTTGTTTGGTTTTATTAGAGGGGACGAGAAGGAAGAAACTAGAGAGAAAGTCTCCCGACACCAGGTAGAAAATCTTAAGATCAGAGAGAAATGATCTACAGGTCATAAGAACTTTCCTCTTTGCGAGAAAACGGCTAATTCCCCTTGAAAACTATTGTGGAAGCCTTTTTCTACACCAAAAACAATTGACTTTAGTCAATTCTTCAAAATCTCTCTTTCGCTTTTGAAGGAAGTATTCTCTTTTGCATGAATCCTTTAAAGTAGTGGTATAAAGAATACCAAAAAGTAGTGAATAAAGAATTTTAGGGGAAAAACTATAACAGAACAAAAAATTAAGTGGAGAGATATTTCCCTGCTTCCCACCCTAATCGTATGGCCTGTTGGTAATAGTATTGTTGTTTTGTATTTTCTTATTTTTTTTCTATTTTGAGAAAGGACTATTGTATAGAGAAAAGTATTGAAGTAACTTTTATTTTATATTTATGAAAAATAGATTATCATAAAGAATGTGTCATAAATGTAAATGATTATTTGATTTAATAAAACATACTGCAGAATGATATTTAATTTTTAATACAGTTTTGTTACAGTGTGACATATCCCATGGGATCCCATGGGATGGGATGGGACTGATCATGATTCCCATGGGATGGGAT